CGCTCGTGGATGTCCCTACACAGATTGTCAGAATACCAGACTCGTACTCCTTCCACATATAGATGTGAGCATACTAAGTATATATACAATTTTTGACAACAATGGACAGATAGAAAAAACAATAGCACTTCCTTGACCAGTTGATGTGATAGCAAACACAGCCAAGGGGGATGACCTATTAGGGCAATAAATGTCATATACAATAATTAATAACAAAGACAGAGTGGTTCAGGGTGGCTGACAAGACAAATGTACACTGCGGTAGTGATAAGGATTAAGTGAGTGAGTGAGTGAGTTTTACGCCACACTCAGTAATATTCCAGCTATATGGCGGCGGTCTGTAAATAATCGAGTCTGGACCAGACAATCCAGCGATCAACAGCATGAGCTTTTCAAACTTATTTAAACGTGATATCTCATAAAACATTGCACCCAATGTTTTCAATTATGTTGACAGCCTACATTCGTTGATTATGCAGACACCAGTCATTTCAGGCATCTTGTATGTGACCCAAAAATAAAAAGTACCGGTAGTAAATATAGATATTCCATATTTTAGCGGCGGGGGACATTGCCATATCAGTTGTTAAATATTTGGACGATGGCTGTCCTGAATTAGTCACTATAACAATATTCTTGTAAATTTGGTCAACATCATACTTTAAAAATCTTTTTTTTTAATCAGCATATTGTAACAAAGTGCCTCCAGTACATGCAGTGAGTGGGGAAAATGACAGTTTTTTATTGTGTGCTGAGTTTATAATCATTACTAAAGTATCTGATTTTATCAGCTAAAGGGAACTTGTATACACTGTACTTGTGTAGCATATTAAAATATTGTAGGCAGTGAAGCACATGCCCAAAACTGGGTTCCATCTTGAGCAAGAAAAAATAATTATTATTCATTGCATGATACTGCAGTAAAAGCCCCCTTCCTGAGAAAAGAGGACAATGTTGAAGGAATAACAAAGGCACAACTGTGGATTTAATGGCCAAGGGTGTGGAGGTTCTTGAGGGCTGCCCCAATTTCGAAATGGAATGGTGTTAATAAGCCTAAATGGCATCACAAGGCAAGGCCAATTTTAGCTATGTGACAACTAGGGTCGCCCACATAATTGTTACTACCCAAAGAATGCTGAGGCCCAAATGACAGAAATGTCGCAACCCGACCAACACTGGGGGTAAAAATGGGAGCAAACAGGCCAAGCTGTGTAATTGCTAATCTATAATTAATAATGAGGCCCAAATGATGTAAACATCGTGACCCGACCAACGCTACAGGTCTAAATGGGAGCGAACTCTGCCAAGCCCGATACTTAATTCAACTGTAAATTCCGTCCATTTAGTAGAGTTGTTGATGGGCCAACAGTAGCTGGATAAATGTAACACGTTTATCTCCCTTTACTTGTGAACACGCTTTATCATCAGTTTATTTCTCAGAGACACTGTTACGAGACAATAGAGCACTTGCTACGGAATGTATATCTGAAGGATTATGCTTGTGTTTTTCTTCTTGTACTAGTTCTCTGTGTGTGTGTGAGGGAAATAGTGGTTAATATCGTTTTGTTTCATAACTCCTCAAGATGGTTGTGTTTTTTCGTTTCAGTCATAGCTTTTCTTGTTTCAGTCATAGCTTTTCTTGAAGGGCACCACATTCATGATGCTACACAGTTATGTCAATATTTTATAAGAATTTCACTCCAATACATCCCCACATGGGTACATTGTGTGAAGCTCATTTCTGGTGTCCCCCGCCATGATGTTGCTGGAATATTGCTAAAAGCGGCGTAAAACCAAACTCACTCAGTCAGGCAGTCACTCCAATACCTCATCCTAGACAACAGTGTGTAACATGGATGACAAATTTAGCTGTTTTCTCAAAACTGTCGAGGCTAAGGAGATCCCCCCAAAAGGAAGGATGTTTTTAATTTTTTGAGAGCTAAGAAACACTCAATTTACTTGCTCCAAGATACCCATTTTGACAGTAAGTTAGAGTTGTACGTTCGAGCAGAATGGTGTTTTGATTGTAATAACAGCCAATCCCAGGCTGTTGCAATTTTAATCAATAACAACTTTTCTTACAAGATTCATAGGGTTATTAAAGGTGACAATGGGAATTTTCTGATTGTTGATATAACAATATGTGAAAAAAGAACAACATTGGTAAATCTTTATGGGCCTAACGAGGACTGTCCAAATTTTTATATTTCCATACTTCAACAAGCTTTGTCTTTTAACAATGAACACTTCATCTTTGGTGGTGACTGGAATCTTGTTTTAAACCCAGACGTTGATGTTTATAATTATATCAATGTAAATAATCCAAATGCTCGGGAGGAAGTGTTAAAGCTGATTGGTGAGCTGAACCTAATTGATGTGTGGAGAGATCACAATCCAGATTCTATGAAATTCACTTGGCGTTGGAAAAATCCTCTTAAACAAGCTTGTCTAGGTTTCTTTCTAGTGTCTGAATCTCTGTTCCCATATATTCAGTCAATGGGTATCAATGCTGGCTACAGAACAGACCATTCACTTATAGACGTCTGGTTTAGTTTCAGTGATCAGGGGAAAAGAAGTTCGTATTGGAAATTTAATTCTTCTCTTCTGAAAGATAAGGATTATATTTTGACTATAAAAGAAGTGATTTCAAATGTGAATAAGCAATATGCTGCACTTGTTTACAATTTTGATAACTTAAATGAAGTACCTACCTGTGATATTCAATTTAGAATAAATGATCAACTTTTTTTGGAAACCCTCTTAATGGAAATAAGAGTAAAAACAATATCCTACTCTTCATAAAAAAAAAAAAAACTCCAGAAAAGAACATGACTTCACTGAACAAATTGACACTTTAGAAAACTCAGTCTCTACTTCTCAAGATGTAGAAATTCTTGATGCTAAGAAAAGAGAATTGGAATGTTTGCGATAAACAAAAATGGAAGGGATATTTGTTAGATCAAGGGCCAAATGGATTGATGAGGGAGAGAAAGTTACCACTTATTTTTGTAACTTTTGTTCTTTGTAACAGAAATTTTGTAAGCAAAACTTAGAATGAAATTGAAAGACCTGATGGATCTGTTATACATGAATCTAGTGATAGTCTTGAAGAAGCAAAGTCTTTTTATGAGAATCTTTATTCAGGCAACAAGGACTCTCAGTCTAATTTAGACATCTGTGATGTGTTATGTGAGGATTTGCCTGTCTTGGATAAAGTTGTTTCAGACTCTCTAGAAGGTTACATTACTTACAACGAATTATTTAAGTCACTGAAAAGTATGAAAAACAACAGAAGTCCCGGTACAGATGGTTTTACCGCAGAATACTTCAAAATGTTTTGGATTGATTTGGGTTATTTTGTGTTGCGGTCAATCAATAGTGCTATCGACATTGGCGAGTTTTCCATTACACAAAAATTAGGTGTCATTACTTGTATTCTTAAGGGTGATAAACCTAAACATTTTCTTACAAACTGGAGGCCCATTTCCTTGCTTAATGTAGTTTACAAAATGGCTTCTTGTATTGCAGAAAGGCTTAAAAAAGTCCTCCCAATTCTAATTAATAATGACCAAACTGGCTTTATGTCCAATAGATATATTGGTGATAATATAAGAATTGTTTATGATACTTTAGTTTTTACAGAATCACAAAATATTCCAGGTATGTTATTAAGAGTTGATTTTGCTAAAGCATTTGATTCTGTCTCATGGACATTTATACAGAAAACGTTATCTTTTTTCGATTTTGGACCTGTCGTAAGAAGATGGATTGAATTTTTTTATAAGGATATTAAATCTTGTATTACTTAAATGGTGTTTTTCTTAAGGAACTTAATAAACTGTTATTTAATTTTGTTTAGAAACAAAAACCTGACTGAATAAAGAGATAACAATGTGTAGACCAGTTAAGGAGGGTAGATTGGGTATGATTAATATATTTGAATATGTCAAAAGCTTTGAAGGTGACTTGGATGATAAAAATTGTTACTAAAGATCCAAAGTCGAAATATATTTTAAATGCTAGTTATTGTAAATGTAGTGAATTTGATAAGCATGGCAAAGAAGTTTTGAAATAAAATTGTCAGAAATCTGAAAAATCCCTTCTGGATTGATTGTTTCAATGCTTTTTGTGATTTTTCAAGTAAAATTAAGCCTGATAATTTTGAAGATTTCTTGTCTGATCATATATTTTATAATAGCAATGTTGTTATTGATAAGAAAACTATTTTTTATGAAGGGTGGTTTCAAAGGGGTATCTCTCAAATTTGTGATCTTGTTGATGAAAATGGCAATTATCTATCTCTGGTTGAATTTAATGAAGGGTATCAATTAAATGTATCTTTTTACTATGGAGTCATCAGCTCTATTAGAAAATATTTTGCTGGCTTGTCAATTGTGAAAGAAAACTCTGGACAATGTGCAGGAAATACACCAATTACTCGGTTATTACTTTCAATTAATAAAGGCTCAAAAGCCTATTACTATATTCTTTGTTCTTCAAATAGGACGCCAAGAGCACAGTTAAAGTGGCAAGAGGATTTTCAGAGTGGTCTTGATTGGAACTGTATTTTCCTAATCTCGTTTAAAGCAACACAAGACACCAAACTGAGATGGTTCCAGTACAGGATACTCCTGGAAATAAAAGATTCTGACTTACGTTCATTCTGTAATAAAGAAATGGAATCTATTTGTCACTTATTATGGGAATGGGAATTTGTACAAACCTTTTGGTCAAATTTTTTATCATGGTTAACAGAAGGTTGTGACCACATTCATAATCTCAAACTCACTATGGAACTGATAATTTTTGGCTGTAAAGAAAATGTTTTTAGTGACTCTGTTTTGACTTGTTCATATTATTGGGAAAATATTACTTGTACAAATGCAAGCTCAATTCTGTTTTACCAAATATTGCCTGGTTCAGAAGTGAGTTGAGATTGAGATATAGTATTGAAATTTTTATTTTTTTAAACAAAAGCTGTAACGCCGAATTTTGAAGTGAATGGATTGTCTTGTTTCGTAAAAAATTCCACCTGTATACCATTAAATTACTGTATATCTTCGGACTGAGCTGTCCCCTGGCTCCTTAGTTTTGACTGTAACAGGGATTCAGAAATAAAATTTAAATTACTAAAAAAAACTTGGCGTAAGACACTGAGCATGCTTGTGGATCTATGTGGTCTTTTATGACCCACCTTTTGGATAAGACAAATGATGGATTAGATGAAAATCGTCTGCGATAGTTGGGAGTCTGACTGTTTCTTTGACAAATTGTCGAAGGGGGCAGTGTTGAATGACCTGGATATTCTTTTTTAGCATTTGCTGGACAATGTATAATCTATCGCTGTGTGTCGCAGTCTTTAAATTACCTATGAGACAACTATGGCACATGCCTTGAAACTTAAGCTGAAAACCAAATGTAAAACCTTCAAGTAAATATTGTGCATCTGCTGCATTGGACTGACCATAAAGATGCAACCAGGGAGTTAATTTGTCTAGTCTGACGGGTGTAGGAGCCAAAGACCTTACCTTTATATCCTCTGGTTGGCTGCCTTCTGCTGGTAAAGCATGGGCTCATACTGTTGTTGGATAGGGGTTGTGAGACCCCCAGTCCTTGAAAGCAGCTGGCCACCCAAGCGAAGGAAATGTCATTGCACTTGCTGCATCTGTGCTGGGTACACAGAACTGTACCTTCTGCATCCATGCGATTTATTAAATGCAATAAAACACAAGGAACTGCTGACCGCCATAAACGCCTACCTGTTGACGTCCCAACTGCGGGGTCATGTATTTTAACCATAAAGGCGGATGCGAAGTGATGCGTCGTGTATTACCGTTAGATTGATGATATAATGCATGAGGTGTTATGCATGAGTGATGTAATTTCTAGGGTGGTGTGCATGCATGTCCACTGATGAGAATAGGCAAATTGTAATCATAAGGTAGCGTACCTCCAATAAAAACATTTAGTAACTAGTACTAAATGTCAAAAGTAATTGCAGATGACTTTGCAAATGACACTGGCCAATTAATTATTCCTTGAAAAGAGTTGCATGTATGTATTATGCTAAAGTAAATCTAAGGACTTGGTGTTTAGCAACCTTGATCCATCTCCACCCAGGCAGAATGAAAACAACACACATCCTCCCCAGTCCAAATTTGATCCTTCAGCATTGTAATATCTGTCATCTTGGAGCATGCATGCAACCCTCGTCCACAGACATTAATAGCAATTGGTACTGTTCTGTTGGGACTTCCTACCTTCTTGATTACCTTGATGGATAAGTGAGATTTGAAACATTCTTCACCTGATGAATCTGTTTGTGAACCTACAGCTTCTGTTTTCTTTACAGTCTTATGCTTCTTACCTTGTCTTGGCTTGAAATTTGTCTTGCCTGCACTGCACATTCTTTTCTTACCACACTTCTTGCATGTTTCCCCGAATGCTTGGCAATTCATTCACTTCTTCACACTTGGTGTGAAGTAATCATTCAGTTTTTTCTTCAGTTTCTCATATGCATCTAGCGCTGCATTTTCAGGATTAGGTAGACTCTTTTCTAGTCTTGCAATTTCTCTCCCACCATAGATGATAAGAGCGTCTTCTTATCTTCGACACTTATATTGCGAAAGAACCTAAATACCTTCTCAATGCCCTCTAACCATTCATCCCAGGCTCTGCCGTTGGTTATTTGGTCATTACCTGGTATAAACTGTGAACTGTTAAGTGTCCTATTCTGAACTGTGATGGTTGTAGCTGCTGGTCCACTCTCCGGGTCTGCCTACGCCATTTTCTAATGCAAGTGGTGTGAGCATGACCTCTGAGTTGATATACCCAATTTCATTAATTGCAAACTTTTGTTCATTAAGAATTACACAATTCAGTCTATGAGTGTTCCTGTTAACTTATGAGTGCCAATGTAATATCTGACATCTTGGAGCATGCATGCGACCCTCGTCCACTGACAACACAATAGCTGCATAGCTTTTCTAGAGAGTGACATTATTTTAGAGTTGTCTCCCTTGGACCACTCAATCAAGCGAAGGGTGTGTGGTCAGCTGCAATCGCTGTTGTTACAAGCATCACGCTCAGCTTGTTTCAGCAGCCTATTTAAGCAACAACTGAGGAGTCCATAACCTCTTCTGTTATTTATTAACATTTGTAAAAACGTAAGACAACATGTCTTCATTACAACAGTTGTTTGTGTTTTTCAATAGTCTGTCTAATCCATTGCACATATTGTCGAACCTTGTCTATCTATCATCATAATAAACATAGGTTGCTATCAGTGTGGAGGTTAATCTTACAGACACATAAGCTATTGGACATTCTGTAAAAAAGATTTGGTTCCTCCATAGTAAAAAGTTCTGTTGGAACTTTTCATTGCAATATTTGTTCCTGTAAAAGTGCATGTGGAACAATTATTTCGTTCTGCATACACAGAATTTATTCCGGGTAAATAAGAACTTTCATACACATCCTGAAGTGTCTATAAGAGGGTTTCGTTTGTTGGGGTGCTCTTAGAAATTGGGGGGGGGGGGGGTGCCAATGGAAAGGAAGAAAGGATTTTTCCAATAGCATTTGTTCCATATGGAAATGTTATGTTGTCTGTTGATTGCAAAATGTTATACACAAAAAATGAGCATGTATTTACAAAACCCAACATCTCTATACACACACACAGAGCCCTGAGTGTATCGGCAAATGAACCAGCCAATGAGCGTCATCGTTTCACTTAAGTGCACACCCACCCGCTCTGACTGGGTTCGGTATCCCAGGTGTTTCATTTCGAGGAAAGTAACCCCAAGTACAAAATATTGCACTTTTGATTTGAGATTGTATGCTTATAATTTTGTTTATTTGATTTTTCATAATCAGCAATGTATATTATATGTCATGAATAAATGATAATTGTGTTTTAATTATGTTGTTTTGTTTTTGTTGCATGTGACCTTTAAGTTAAATTTAATGAAAATACTCATAAATGGTACTCTGTCTCTCTTTATCACAAAGTACATGTGTTACATAAAAAAAAAAAAATCAAAATCTCGATTTTGATATATTGAAGCAAAATTGTCAATTTGAGGTGCCATGTCTGGCCTTAAAAGGGAGCAGAGTCTCACCTTAGCCAATTTAGCTTTCTCATGAACTGTCTCCTGGCTGTTGTTGTCCTTATGATTTAACATTTAATATAATTTCAATGCCTGATAGTGACTGGGAAGGTGTTTCTCCATACATGCAAGAGAAATCAGAGGTCACATCAATGTGGTATTTTGCCATGCCACTCTAGATCTGAAGCCTGATGTTGGAAATATGTAATCTAGCACCCTCTTTTGCTTCAACACACTTTACTGCCTTGTACTAACTTGAAGAAGATGTGGTACTTGGACATATAGGTACATATAGTACATTTAAGTCCAGTTAAGGTACCACTATGTCTCACTATCAAGGTCCATCACTCGGTCACCCTCATCCATTAGAAATTTCTGACAGTGCTTCCTTTATGCCTCAATGTGCAGATTTTCCAGTTTGCAGACATGAACTAGGGTTATACATAAACACCAGAACCTGCTTAGATGAAAATGATAACCATTGACCCTTGTGGAATGTAACATTAGGGTTCTGAGTTCACAAAAAAGTGATATGATAGTGTTTGACATTACTAAATTATCTCCCCTGATTATCGAAATACACTGTTTCTTTCTGTCACCCAATAACCCATACATTATTGGAGAGAAAAACGGTTTTCAGCTGATATTGACAAGCATTGTTAATTGTGACTAAATCTAATCACTTTTGGGCAGGGTATCTGATATATTCCCTAAATTATGTGGATTTTGTCACTTGTGTTGCATAAAACTGGCTTATTAAATTGGTAAGTTTTAGCAGCCTCAAAACAGTAAACAGTTAGTATTTTTTTATTTCCTGGAATTATTTCAAAGTCATAACTAGATAAATGAATAGACTAAGTCTGGTAAGTGTTTCACACTGTTGGGCACAATCCAATCCCTTTACTTTATACTTTCTAGCAAAGTTCATTTTTCAGCCTTACATATGTCAGGACATAAAAGCTGCTAAATTTGACTGTGGCCAATTTCTGGCCTGAATTCCATACTTTCTGTCCAACTTTGAACAATGTTTCTGACTCCTCTCCGTGTGTACTTTTGTCAAAAGCTTACTGTTAAGATGCTTATAAACTGACGGGCAAAAGTTAGTATATGACGTTTTGAACGTCCTGTAACAAAGACATACACCGAAATTTCCCAAAAATATTTAATGCATCATAATAAAAAAACACTTGAGCTGTAAATCACAATAAATCAACAATTTCATTCAAGGAGTTTGTGAGCCGCTGTCAAGTAAACACGCAAGGGGTGGAATTTTGCATAAATCGATTATCACAATCTGAGTTTATGAGTCAGTAGCAGGGGCATTCCTTGAATACAGGATCTTGTGCACATCAGTATCGTGTGTGACCCCTGCTGCGCCAATGCATGCCCTCACATCGTCTCCTCATTGACGTCGTCCAAACGCCGAATGGCGTCATTGGGGGAATGCGGTACCATTCCTCTCTGAGTGCTTGCTCTAGCTGTTGCCTGTTCTGTGGAACTTGTTGCCCGACCTCTGATCTTCCTGTCCAGATGATCCCAGAGGTGCTCGTCGGGTTCATATCCGGTGAGCACGCTGGCCAGGGCAGGACGTCAACATTGTTCTGTTGCAGAAAGTAGCGAGTCTCTCTGGCAGTGTGAGGTCTCGCGTTGTCATGTTGTAGGAGTACACCCCGGGTTGATTCTGTAGGAAGGGTACCACAACTGGCTGTAGGATCTGTCCGATGTACCCCGTGCATTGAGATTGCCCTGCACTACAACCAGACGGGTCTTCTGGTCTCCACAGATACAGCCCCAAACCATGACTCCACCCCCCCGAATGGATGAACTTCTCTGATGCATGGCCTTGCTAAACGTTCCCTCGCCGGCCGATATACCCGTTCTTTGCCATCACACTTGTAAAGGGTGAAGCGGCTTTCATCGGAAAAGAGAACACGCCGCCAATCTCGGACTTGCCACCTGTATACTTGCCTTGCCCACCGCTGTCTGTTTTGGCGATGTCTGAGGGTCAGGACCATTCCGCGAAGGCGGTAAGCCCTTATACCAGCTAATCTCAATCTTGGTCACTGTCGCGACGACTGATACGATGCCCGTGCCGTAGCCCGCCCGTCGGCGTTGCCGTCCACGAACCTGTTCTGGAGATGGATAGTCGGATGTAGCGGTCTTCTATGGGTGTAGTGACCCGTGGTCGTCCACTTCTCGGCCTGTCTTGAGTGCTACCAGTATTCGGTAACGTGTGAACAGCCTGGAGATTGTTGCTGGGGTACAGCCCGAGCGTTCTGGCAAGATGAGCTTAGGTAGCTCCCATATCGCGCATTCCAATGGCTCGGCTCGCTGAATTTGTGTCAGCTTCGCATTTTGCATGTGCTTTCAGTTACTGTGATATGCCAGCGTGTATCCATCCCATTTCTACCCGACTGGTGCACGTGCATGTTCGTGATTTTCAACGATTACATGTTATACCTTTTTCTTGTGCTAGGGGTCACGTGACTACATCTACTGACATCACTACCATTCTGCAATATTCTCGTGACTTTGACAATGTTTGCTTTGGATGTTTCATTGGAATTTAGACATGCTCAATTTCCCCAAACCAAATTGAAAACGTTATACTAACTTTTGCCCGTCAGTTTAGAAATGAATCGGAAAATATTTGGTTTAGTGTAACTGATAACTTCAACTCAACCAAACAGGACATGGTTTCCCATGGTTTGTTCGTACTCCTCATAAAAGAACCATTTCCACTAACACTACACTACGATGTACTCCTCAGCATTGATTTGACACGTGTGATAGCCTGCACAATCTTCACCTTCACTATGATGTACTCCTCAGCATTGATTGGACACGTGTGATAGCCTGCACAATCTTCACCTTCACTACGATGTACTCCTCAGCATTGATTGGACACGTGTGATAGCCTGCACGATCTTCACCTTCACTACGATGTACTCCTCAGCATTGATTGGACACGTGTGATAGTCTGCACGATCTTCACCTTCACTACGATGTACTCCTCAGCATTGATTGGACACGTGTGATAGCCTGCACGATCTTCACCTTCACTACAATGTACTCCTCAGCATTGATTGGACACGTGTGATAGCCTGCACAATCTTCACCTTCACTCGTGGACTCTATCTTGGTGCTGATACAGATTCTGGTTTCTTGCAAGTATGCCTCCTATTCTGTGGCATTGTCTTGGAGACCTTCCTCCTCTGCCATCAACCACAACCAATGGGGCAATTTAGACAGCAGCTGAGAAGACAGGGAATACTTGAATGTAACTATTCCCTGGTGGTGGATTTCTTGCTCCACCTCCATCAGGCCTACCGATGAAAACTTTCCCACTGTGCAGAAAAACGCAGAAAAGCCCACATTAATCGTGGAAATAGCAACATAAACACATTACCTCGCAACTGAAACAGTGAAAACGGCAACGAAAAACTATGAAACTGCAACATTTTTATATCAGGGAACTTTGACCTCTACTGCGCATGCGCATTACGATCCGGGCTTCTTTCCAACTTCCAAGCAACCATGAGTCGCCTTGCGTAGAAAAAGTATTAAATATGTCGAAATAATTGCTGCCAATCGTTTCATACGAATGGAAAGTAAACTAAACAAGTGTGCACACAAATATCATGATGATAAATGCCAAATAACACAACAGAAATACTTAAACAGGAATGTAACTTTTGTCCAAGCTGGAAAATGCCAACATGCGGTCGAGACTTCCTCTTCCATGTGCGCATGCGCAAAATCGAAGTTGTGGGCTCCTCGTTTTACGATGCAGTGTTAGCGATTTAAAGTTGACGTTTTTACTGTTTCAGTAGTGAGGTATTATGTATATGTTGCTATTTCCACGATTAATGTGGGCTTTTCTGCGTTTTTCTGCACAGTGGGAAAGTTTTCTTTGGTAGGCCTGTCCATGGGGCCTTTAGTGGCTGCCCAGGTTATAGTTTCCCTAGTTATCAGCTGCCCTTTTCTACTGAGAAAAATGTATATGTATGTGTTCGTGCATGGGAGTGTGCAGAGTATGGAGGATCTTTGTGACTCAAACTTGTTAAGTTTAGATGACCTTTTGATTCTAATGTGAGCCTAGGATCAGACAGATTGTAGGTTATCACCTTGTCACTCACTCAGAGATGATCATTAGATCAGTGGAGTGATGACAGCAAAAGATGTTGTCAGTAGCATATGTAACATCCTAGCAGATGGTGATATCCAGTTATTAATAACATCCTCAGAAACAAAAAAAGATCATCAATAATAATGGAAGCAGTGTCATTATAGAAAGTGTCTCCATAAAGTGGATGTGATATCAAAGGAATGCTAATGTAGATGTATTTATACTGCATATATCATTGTAATATTTTCTATGCTTCAAGGTGTTTTTATTTTGTTAACTGTGATCTATCTTGTGAAATATCTAATGCTACTTCACACCAAAGGAATTATGAAACTATAGTTGTCAATGTGCACAATTATAAGAATGCTACCTCTGTTACATGCAGTAGTGCCTTTTTCCAATGCAGATATTGAAAATCGAAACTTGGCACACAGATAGGTCAAGCTGTGAACTGATGCCTTTTGGTAGTTGACTATTGTGGGAGATATCAATGACTTTTTTTCCAGTCTTATGAATGTACCATTTCTTTGGCATAGTTCCTTCTTTTAATTCATGATATAAATTATGTCTCCCCCCAAAGGGTCAGGAGACATTGTTTTTGGTTGAGTTTCCGTCAGCGTTGCCATCAGTGTTCCCATTGTTTCCAGAACATAACTCTAAAACTGTTTGAACAATCTTCACCAAATTTGGTATACTGCCTCTCCATATCATGTAGATGTGCCTTTTTGGGATTTTCTTTTTCTTTTTCAATTTTATTTTTTTGAAGTGTAAAGTTCGTTTCCAGAGCAAAATTCTGAAACTAATTTACCCATCTTCACCAAATTTGTTATACTGCCCCTCCATATCATGTAGATGTGCCTTTTGGGGGTTTTAGTTGGGGTTTTTTCAAAAAAAATTTTTCTTTTCAATGGCAACAAATTTGGACTTGGTCTTTTAAGCAAGCACACCTCTTCATCTCTGCTTTGTGAGCCCTTTTTACAGCTTATGACCATCCAACAAGAAGGAAAGGAACACTTATTGATCATATTTATGAGAGAGATACAGCATACTGAAGATCTGGTGTTGTTCCATTCTACTACAAATCACCTGATGAAGGGGCAAGAAGTAGCCCAGAAACGTTGTGATATACAATAAACAAGAAGCTGCCATCCATATACTGGTCTTATACATTCTACTACAGTTTCCATGATATCACCTATCTTGTTCTTGATTAGATTCAGTAAAAAAGTTACATCCATAACTGAATGTTATAAAATTTGATTTTGATTTCAGCATTTGTTAAAATATTTATTGACTAGAGACAATATTTATAAAATAAAACAGTGGAGTTGTTGATTTGTTGATAAGCAATTAAGTTCAATTGAATCTAAAAATATTAAATGAAGACTTTATAAACATAATAACATACTATCAATAATATGTATTTACATATTTAGAGATTTTGAAATTGAAGGAATCAAATGAATTGTTCGAGGTCTCAATGGTGAATTGGGGGAAGGGGAGTTATCTGTTTTTACGAGTAAAAACACTTTCTAGTAATGGATAGATTTTGTATTAAAGCAAAAACAGATATGTTGGTAACTAAGACCTAGTTCCTAATCGTTAAAAAAATATCAAGTTCAAAAGTATCAAAATGTTCAGAAAACTATAAAATATCAGTGATAATTCACATGAAATGCTATGGTTATGAGACAAATTATTTGGTTTAGCATGTCATGCTGTGAGTGGGGAGACGGACGACACAACTTCTTCTATTGACGGCTATAGCTTTACTGCCGAGACATGTGGTTACAAGCGACACCACCGCGTTGTATCAGGGGAGGCAACTCTAGGTTGCTTACCTTAGCTCGTGATATGACATCCCCCTTTCCTAACAATATAAAGTATGGTTTACATTGAATCGTTTTTGTGGTTATTTTTACACTGTACATTCAAGAATTGAAAAAGTATTTAAAGGTTACTGGTGATTTCAGTTACAGTCATCCCTTGCCATAACGCGGGTCTTGGGGTCCATGGATGACCCCCAGCGTTATTAGACACCCGCGTTATAGTAACTATTACATAACGCGGAACAAAGGCTAAGTAAAATCGTATTTTCCATGGACATAACAAAACTGCTATTTCATGTATTGTGCCCAGTCAAAACTATATCGTATCGTTGGAGGTGAAAAAAAACACTTTGTAAATGAAAATGGATGTATGGACTGGAAACTTGCAATCAAACATCACTAGACATGATATTTCAATTGTTGTTCCTGTTATGCTACTTGTTATTCAACTAAGCTGGAAATAGCAATCAGGTGTGTACAGATGTTTTGGTCCAATGTACAGGTGATTCAGTTAAAAACGACGAGATAACATAGCATCAAAGAATTTCTATTCCATTATCAGAATAATTTGTATCTTAAGCAGTTATTTTAACAGAGATATTATATATTGCTATAGTATAAGTGTAATGCATGTTTTGTACAAACATATTTAACATAATAATTAACATAGGCTAAGGTTACCTGGCTGAATACATTTTACGTAGGGATTCGAATCCACACCCTCAGAGTCAGGCATCTAATCGCCAGCACACAAAGTCAGACGCCTAGACCGCTCAGCCACTGCGTCCAGAAGAAATTGTGTCGTCGTCTTTGTCGCCTGGTTATTTCTCATCTTGTGGCCAATCTGACATCTTGTTGTCTGGTTAGGTTGGTTTACCACTAGGACTTCTGTAAGTATTTGACGTTCTCTGAATTGTCTTCTGTTCCTGCGAAGCGTCACACCTTGGCCAGTTTGTACGATATATGATCTTGGTTCATGGCAACTTGCTTGGATTCTTGCAGGTAGCCACCTGCCTGAGGGGGAGTCTTGTATAAGTACGTACTGCCCAAGCTCAAATGGAGGGAGGTCAATTGGCATGGAGGTCATAATATGATTTCTGATTATCTTGTCTTTGTTATCCCCCGCAACGCGTTTTGCGGGGGGTATTAAAATGGACTCCGTCCGTCGTCCGTCTCGTCCGTCCGTCCGTCCGTGCACATTTGTCTTTTCCGGAACAGAACTCTAAAACAGTTCAATATTTCTTCACCAAACTTGGCACATAGATAGATCTGGTGGTGTACTGGTGCCTTTTGGTAGTTTTGGAATTCTGAATAAAACATTTTTGGCATTTCCATGGCAAAAAGTTCGACTAAGCCTGAAATTGGTGGTAGTGCACTTTTCCGGAGCAGAACTCTAAAACCGTTCACTATTTCTTCACCAAACTTGGCACATAGATAGATCTGGTGGTGTACTGGTGCCTTTTGGTAGTTTTGGATTTCTGAATAAAATATTTTTGGCGTTTCTGTGGCAACAAGTTTGACTTAGCCTGAAATTGGTGGTAGTGCACTTTTCCGGAGCAGAACTCTAAAACAGTTCACTATTTCTTCACCAAACTTGGCACATAGATAGATCTGGTGGTGTACTGGTGCCTTTTGGTAGTTTTGGATTTCTGAATAAAATATTTTTGGCGTTTCTGTGGCAACAAGTTTGACTTAGCCTGAAATTGGTGGTAGTGCACTTTTTCGAGACAGAACTCTAAAACCGTTCACTATTTCTTCACCAAACTTGGCACATAGATAGATCTGGTGGTGTACTGGTGCCTTTTGGTAGTTTGGGAATTCTGAATAAATTATTTTTGGCATTTTTGGCACCATGGCAACAAATTTGACTTAGCCTGAAATTGGTGGTTGTGCTCTTTTTCCGGAGGTGAAATCTAAAACCGTTCACTATTTCTTCACTAAACTTGGCACATAGATTGGTCTGGTGGTGTACTGGTGCCTTTTGGTAGTTTTGGAATTGTGAATAAAATATTTTTGGCGTTTCCATGGCAACAAGTTGACTTAGCCTTACATTGGTGGTATTGTCTTTGTTTCATTCTATCCTGTATATCGTCTCTTGCTTCACTCCTATTCCTGATATGAACTGGTAGGTTACTTCTTATTTTCCTATTGTAGAGAAGTTCTGCTGGTCTTGGTAGCCAATGGTCTATTGGTGTTGCTCTCAAGCACAGTAGGGCCATGTTGATGTCCTTATCACTTGATTTGGCCTTTAGAATAGTGTCTTTTGCAGTTTTCACATTTCTCTCGACGAATCCATTTCATTGTGGGTAGATTGGTGAACTTGTGGTGTGCGTGAATCCCCATTCTCTTGAGAACGTGTTAAACAGTTCAGAGCTGAAGTGGCCACCGTTGTCGCTGATCACTTTCTCTGGTAACCCATGCTCCGAGAAGACCTGCTTCATTATGTTCACAACAGCCATGCTTGTGCATGGAGATGGAAGTTTCTGATGAAAAAGAATTTTGAGTAATAATCTGCTATGATGATGTAGTTTGCTCCTTGAAGGTGGAACAGGTCTGTGCCGATGACAGTCCATGGTCTGGTTGGTATTTCATGTGGCATGAGTGTGTCTTTGGAGTTGGATCTCTGGATCACTTGGCATGTGGGGCACTGTCTTGTTATTTCTTCTATTCTGCATTAATGTTAGGCCAAAATACAGTCTTTTGCTCTCAGTTTACACTTCTCCATGCCCTGGTGGGCTTCGTGTATTTTCTCAAGGACCATTTTCCTCATTGAAGTATGACTCCGTTCTCTACTGATAGTTCATCTCTGAAGGACCGATATTCTCTTGTACTACTTGCAATATCTTTTCTTTCTCTGGCCACCCTTGTATTAGTTGTGCTTGTGACGGGTCTTCTGCTGTTTCCTCTCTTATCTGGTCTACTCTTTCTTGGCTGAAGTTTACATTGCTTATTTGTAAGTCCAAGTCAATGTGGTCATCCTTCATACTTGTTACTCTTGAAAGTGTGTCTGCTATCAGCATTTCTTTTCCAGGCTTATATCTGATGGTTGCATCATAGTTTTGGACTCTCAAAAGCATTCTGTGTAGTCTGGGTGGAGCGGCTGTCAGGTTTTTTAGCTGTATCATCTCCAGCGGTTTGTGGTCGCTTTCCACCGTGAACTCTTTACCATAGACATATGTGTGGAACCTTTCACAACCGAATACTACTGCAAGGAGCTCTCTTTCGATGTTGCGTAGCGTTGCTCTGTTGGTGACAAGCTCTTTGATGCGATGGTTATCGGCTTGTTTTCCTGTATCAGCGCCGCCCCAAGTCCCTTTGTTGACCACATGAATTCTGATTCTTTCTGTAGCATTTCCCTGAAGTGAGTAGTGTGCTCTGATAAGTTTCGGATGAAAGGGGACATGTCGGTAACGATGCCTAAGAATTCATGCAGCTGTGTCTTGTTTGCTGGGTCGTTTATGCACTTGATTGCTTCAACCTTGTCTGGGTATGGGTGAACGCCATCTTTGTCCAAGACCATTCCGAAGAATTCGATCTTTTCATGCTTTATGTGGCACTTGCTACTGTTGAACACCTAGCCGTGCACTTCTAGATTCCTGTCATGTTCTTGTTCGGTTCTGCCATATATTGTGACATCATCTGCGCTGCCAATAGCCCCAGTGCAGTTTTCTAGTATCTGATCCAATTTGTGTTGGAAAACATCTTGCGCCATAACAAGTCCAAAAGGCATTCTTCGAAAACAATATCAACCAAAAGGTGTGTTAAATAGTGTGAACCTTCATCTAATTTCACAGACCACTACCCATGTGTTGCATCCAGCTTGCTGAATAACTTGGATCCACGGAGTTTGTAAGTTATTTTTTCTAATGTTGGCGTTTTGTGATGGCATCATCTTATTTCCTTGTTGAGGTCTTTTGGATCCAAACAACTTCGAATTTCTCCATTGCTCTTTCGGGAGAAAGCAAGATTGTTTACCCATTCTGTTGGTTCTGAAACTTTTCTTATGATTCCATTTTGTTCCATGCTATCTAGATCAGATTTCATTTCTTCGGGGAGGTGAATAGGGCATTTCCGTGGTGAGTATCACGGGTTGTACATCCGAGTCCAAAGATATGTGGTATGTGCCTGGGAAGTTCCCTACCCCATCGAACTGTTGTGGGTATTTTGATATCAGGTCTTCTGCTGAATTTATTTTCATTCCTGGCTATTGTTGTATGGAACAGTAAAGAGTCACAAGTCTCATTAGTTTGGATGCCATTAGTCCTAAGATTGCTGGACCTGCTGAAATATTCAATTGGGATCCATTCCTTGTCATTACTTTGGCAATGCAGTGTGACGCATCCCAACTGTTCAATGATAGTGTCATAATATGCCCTAAGTATGGTTCCTTTTTCCATAACGATACCTGGGAGTGGGTTTCCATTGCTTCCAACATGATCTGGAACATTTTCCTAAACATCCTAATTGGCAGTGTGTTGCCTTGGGCACCAGTGTCCACTTTTGTCCTAATCCTGGCAAACTTGTTTTGTCCTATTCTTGTTCTTGTGATCGCTTCATCTTCTAAATCCTCTTCTATGTTGCTCATGTTTGATATTATGATGCTGTTGATTGTTAGGTCTTGACAATCATCATCCCCCTGGTATATATTATCTGTGCTATTATCAGTCTCTTCCATGTAGTGGATTGTTCTTCCTCTGTCATTATTTCTATATCTAGATGTTGATCTGCTCCTAAATCTGCCCCTTTGCATTGGTCTTCTCCTCTGTTTGGGTTGGAAGTTTTCTTTGTTTCTACACATTCTCCCAAAATGGTTCTTGCCTCCACTGTTGTCACATATCGCCTCTATCTGTGGAAACCCTTCTCTCTATGTGAGCGAAGGGTCATCTGTGGAAATTATCATAAGCTTGCCCGCATCTATAACATGGGTTTCTGTTTTATTTTTGCTTGATGTAGTCAACTTGAGTAGTCTGCGTGTACATGCTTGACTGAACACTGGCAAGTTGTCTCATATGGCATATTGATGCTTCAAATGTTCTTCTTATGTTAAGAGCTTCATTAAGTTTCAGTGTTTTATCTTTGCCTAGCAGTTCTTTTTTGCAACTCTGTACGCTTTCTTCCTGTAATTATTTGTTCAATTATTCTCTCGTCAAATTCTTCTTTAGAAAAATCACATTGGAAGGCTTGTAATTTACATCTAGAGACAAAGTCATAAAGGCTTTCATTTTCTTCTTGTTTATACTTTTGTAGGTAAAGCCAAGATACACGAAAGTTCGTCTTGGGTTCAATTTGCATTTTGAAATTTTCCCATACGCTATCCGGATTCTTTTTGTCTTGTTCAGGTGGGGTAGCTTAGTGGGTAAAGCGTTGGCTTGTCACGCCGAAGACCCAGGTTCAATTCCCCACTTGGGTGCAATGTGTGAAGCCCATTTCTGGTGTTCCTCTCTCCCCCCCCATGATGTTGCTGGAATATTCCTAAAAGCGGCGTAAAACCAAACTCACTCACTCACTCTTTATCTCTTTTACGGAGAAATAGAGTTTGCTTAAACATGGCTAGGGCTGTTGGCTGGTCGGACGAAGACCACTCCATTTTCGGTGTAAATTCTGACATTATGTGTTGCACTATGTCTTCCTATTCATTAGTTGAGCAATGAAGAATGCATGCAAGAATGCGAGACTATTACCGCTGCCACCATGTCATGCTGTGAGTGGGGAGACGGACGAAACAACTTATTCTGTTGATGACTATAGCTTTACTGCCGAGACATGGTTACAGGCGACACCACAGCGTGGTATCAGAGGAGGCAACTCTAGGTTGCTTACCTTAGCTCGTGATATGACATAGCAAATCCTCACAAGTTTTGTATCAATGAATGAAATTGAGCTTCTGTACTTCTGGCATGCTGGTACTTAAACTGTATATCATGTTTTCCTTATATTTTTCTCTCTTTTGTTTGCAGTTCATAAAACAGAAAATACCCTTGAAGAGATGAACATGTACAGTCTGTGTTAGCAAAGAAGACCAGTTGCTGCTATGAATTAGGAAAGCACTAACTGCATGAACTGCCAACAGGAAGCTAATGCAAATCGTGGAATTCAAGATACACTAACAAATGAACAACACAGGATGGATGAATTTGACATACAGATGCAATTTGTGAAATCATTTAGAAAGACAGTTTGTAAAATGTTAGTAATTATGAACGGTTTATACTGTGTTTTTAACTTATGGCAAAATTTGATCTTACACAATTGTCCTGAATTGGGGTTGACGTGTTAACTGAATTTATATGGCTTTCATGCAAATACATAAGGAATTCTTGGCCATTCAGTGGGTTTTATTTATTTTCTAAAGAGAAAAGAGGAAAGAAATTATTGATATAGCACAGGGTCTTTTCTGTGCAATGAACTTAACAAATGCTTGAAAATAGTGCAAAGTCACTTTGCTATTTCTTCATGCCACAAGTACTCATCATATAAAGACAGTGATCTTATTTTTTTCCATGAAACATCAGACCAACTCTGTGTGTTTTTTTGCAGAATTTATGTCCTAAAAATAAAAAAGTTGTTTAACAAACTATCATTAAAATATTTACACAGTTCACTATGTGTTACGAGGGAGGGGTGCAAAGAGAGGAACAGCCAGGTGTGCGAGAAAGGATGGAGACAGCACAGCACAGGTAAATGAATCAATAACTTTGTCGTCACTTGTGCACATGCTTCATGTACACCTGTCTGTTCGTCTCTTTGCACCCCTCCTTCATAACAAATAGTGAACTGTGTATATATTTTAATGATAGTTTGTAAAACAACTTTTTTCTTTTTAGGACATAAATTCTGCAAAAAACTCACAGAGTTGGTCTGATGTTTTGATTATGATCAGCGTTTCATTGAGTATTATATGTTTATTAGTTTTCGAGTTAGATTGCGATTCCTCAGTCCACTTTTGAGCCAAACGGACTATACTACCAACCAAATGGAACAGGGACAGTATGCAGATATTCTTTCATGCAGTGATTTGTTTGAGGATACAAATTACAGGACAAACTCTTGTAAATACATGTAGTTAAGATGTAGTAAATGTTAATGCACACATGAGATTTCATATAAAATCTGTTGTTAGTGCAAGTTCTGTGGAGACTTCATAGACAGTAGATCAGCAAAAAAATGTTTTGCCAGCATATGGTGGTATGTTCAATACCACTACTAATCAAATATTTTAGCAGCTAAATATGACTGACTACTATCACTTTACCAAATTCTATACAAGTACAAAGTATTTCAAACATATACTCATAGAAACAAATAAGGGAACACATGAAAGTACAAGTGTTCCATCATTTATTTCCAGAATTTCACTTACAGTGCAATACATTCCTTGTGAAGAAACCTGGAAGAGAATAAAGGAACACTTGTACTTTCATGTGTTCACTTATTTGTTTCCATGAGTATATATCCAGTCCCTACTACATCACAGGAAAAAATCTGTTCATGCACTTGACAGTATGAAACATACTGAACCATGAGTAAACTGCAAGTTGTTCATAATTTTTTGGCAGATAACTATAACCTTATACCTTATAACCTTAAACGATACTAGTATTTAGATAATGTCAAGAAATGAAAACAGAGAAAACATTTGATAATAATGGGTGTTGATTGTTAATGAAAAAACTCCACGAAAACCTGTTGGTCAGGTTCCTGTCCCTTTTTTCGCTTGATGGTGTGTTTTTTTTATCTAGTTGCTTATAAAGGGTGGACTAGAGGGATAATGCATGCAGTTATGTGAGCGATTTGCACTGCATGTGCAATAAACATCAACTGAGGTGAAATGATTACATTTTTAAAATTATTCTATCTCACAGAGTGTACTCTCTCTTTTTTATTTGACTGTTGAGTGGAAACGAACTGTAAACAAAGTTTCTGGCCTCTCTTGAACCCTTTGCCCGAACACTCCCCACTGCTCCCATTCCTGGACAGCCTAGCAGCCACCTGAAAAGCATGCAGCATGCTCTCCGGTTAATCATGTTACTCCCCTGTCTGTTTTGTCTGGTGAGAGGGTAGAAGACAAATCCTCAAGGAAAAGGAAGGTCTGTGACAAGTGCAATAAGAATTTCTCTTCTTTGGACACTTATCCATCATGCATTGACTACATGGGGCTCTGCGCATGGACCACAAGATGGAAGATTTGTGAGAAGTTTAATGTTGACGACTTTGCTACCTATTTCAAGGTCAGCTCCAGGCGACTGGCAGACTGAGATAGAAAGAAATTAGACAATACAGGCTCTTCTGCACCCAAGAAATCCAAGACTGATAGACCTACCAAGAAAGCCCATAGGATTTCTCATTCACAGACAGAAAATGATGATTTTCTTGACACCCTGTTGGACTCCGACCGCAGCAAGAATATCAAACGTTTTTTCCATGCGTCTGATTCAACAAGGAGTTTGCTGACCCCCAGACCTGTTGTTTCATCTAGAGTGGTGGTAGTTAATAGATCCCCAGACCAGCTAGGATCGGCGCTTCCCAGATCTTCACCTACTGTGCAGGATTCTTCATTTACTGTGGACATTTCCACGAAATCAGCGATCTCTACCTCTGCAATCGGCAATCTACAACCGGCGAATCTCCTGGGATCGAGGATTTTCTCTTCAGCTGCGACTTCCTGGATTGGCGATCAACCCAGATCACAACTGTCATTCAGCAATCCTTTCTACATCAGTGAACCCCTTGATCGCCGCTCCTCCATCTTCGATAGTTGGCCAGTCCATTCTTCAGCAACTACAATCTGTCTTCTGTGCATAGAGCATTCGTTGACGGTTATGACTTCGTCAACTCTGCCTTCAGGTTTGGCGATTCCTGCCAGTTTGGCGATCTCTTCAAGTTTAGTCACAGGCTACTAGAGCTATGCAGCCAAACCTACCTGTCTTTTGGGGTCATTCCCAAGATACACAACCTCAAACATGGACTTTGACTTGATGGTGCGAGTAATGATGATGGCTTTGAAGCAAGTACAGCAACTAGATGCGTTTCCATATCAGAATCGTCAAGTCCTACCTCCGAGTTCGCTGATCTCACCAGTCAGTGTTCAGCAAAACCGCCTCTCCTTCTCCCACAGGGAAACCCCTTCATCATATCTACACTCAGTTCGACACATTTTCCTACATCCTGTGTTTTCAACACTTTAATTTGCCAGTTGGCCATTAGGGCCTGCTGCCGCCTGAAGGCTTTAACATCTACAGGCTGGGAATGAAATCTGCAGGCCCAGTCAAACCAAAACTACACTGTACTCAGTTTCTCACTATTTCTACCAAATCAATTAGCAAAGCCTATGGCACAGAGAGAAGTTTTTATTTGTTGAAGACTGGTGCTGACATTCCCTTGGGCAAAGCACTGAAATACCAGGAAGTGAAACTGTAAGTTATCGTAACATGGTGGATCATGGATGATTCTGGAACGTCAATAAAGAAAAAAATTATGGGAAAGATTAAAGTTGAAAAAAAAACCAGATAATTTACTGAAGGCCACAAGGGCCTGCAAATATTTGAAACTGCTGGCCTGATACAATAACAACCAGCCCTGGTCCTCCAGGCCGGCAATTATTTCGAACGCTGCCTACATCTACAATTCTCCACCAGCTAGAGTAGATTTTCAACATCAAGAAATGAGAGCTGAATCCAACTTCATACACCTGCACTCAGTCTACCATTTATTGCATCAAATATCATGGAGGTTAACCTAATAATGCACCGGTGACGTCATACAGGGAGTTGACTGGAGGTACACGGGTAGTTCTTTGTGACTCGGTAGACAACCACATTGACTACTATACAGTTCAACTGTATTATCACAAAAGTTTTTTGTGTGTGTGAAGTTTTGACTACATACTTACAGAATGCAATGCCTACCGGGTCTATAACATGAACAAGGGATTACTGGATTCTGTGAAATAACAAAGAGAGCAATGAAGCACAAGGCAGCATTATAGCAAGACAGCAATTGCACTTTAGCGCAATAACTGCTCCCCAGGCACAGTTCCTACTACTTTTCGTGGTGGCTCAACAAATCAACTTTTATGGAAGTGTCCCGTTCTATGTCCATTCCTGAGGTTCCCAGTTTACCTATCCTTCTACTTTCAGCGTTCCATCAGTACATTAAGTGGTGGCTCATTGACTCAACACATCATACCTCTATATAGTGAGTATGCAGAAGAAAACACTGCGACAGTGACAGGAGTTGCTGGGTTTACTAACGTTAGCCCAAGCCCTCATGACCAGAGATCAACTACATCTATGGCCGATCCAGAGGAGCACCAATCCCCAAGTGCCAATCCTTTTACATTTGTCGCTCCATCACCATCGGTGTTGGTGGCTCGACGAATGGAGTGTCTGAGTAGGAGTTTGCTTGATGCTGTCAACTCACACTCATCACCTCTTCTTAGACGCATCACTTTCAGCATGGGGAGCTCATCTTTATGATCAACAAGTGGCAGGGCTGGAGGACTGGTGTTCAAGGCAGTCATCCTAGCCATTGCACATTGGGCTAAGGATCTACATATGACCAGTCTTCTGATACAATCAGACAACTTGACGGTGGTATGGTTCATCAATCATCTGGGTTCAACAGGATTGTCGCACCTTCTAGAGTGAGCAATCAAGTCAATTCTCCCAAATGATAGAATCCCTGGCAATCTCAGCAAGAGCAACTCACATACTGGGAGTAAAGAATGTCATCGCCAACTCTCTGTCCAGGTCAAAACAATTTGCCTACCGATTAACAACCTGCAGATTGATCTGTTTGCGACCAGGTTCAACAACCAATGCTAACTCGTTCCTACCACCAGCACTTCTTCCACGAATACTACAGGAGTTAGTAGATAACACTGCTTTTGGTCGCACCTTACTGGCCAACTTGAGTTGGTTTGTCGATCTGTTAAGCTTTACCGAACCTCCCGAAGAGAAAAATATTGAGCGCATCATTTTCAAGACCTTCTTCCTGGTAGCTCTTGCTACTGCTGCATGTATGTTGGAACTCCACACTCTGGATGTCTATCACATACGTTTCGAGAGGAAGAGGCACAGCAGAGTTTGTCTGGGTCACCGATGGGACTTCATAGTGAAGAGCCAACTGCCAGGACAAGAGGATAGGCTTTTTACCCTCCTGCCGTTGTCCTCCATCCTTGGGCTCAATGACATCAAAGACATCACATTCTGTCTTAAAAATTTGAATATTTTAACTATAAACTGTATATTTATAATACTTATCCTATCTCATGCAATGGATTCCCGCCCAACCATCCCCACTTCACAGAATACAACAATTGCTCCAAGATGAGAATGACAGGACGGGGGAGTCACATGACCAACCGGAGAGCATGTTGTATGGTTATCAGGAAGCCGCCAGGCTGTCCAGGAACGGGGGCAGTGGGGAGTGTTCGGGCAAAGGGTGTAGGCCAGAAAATTTGTTTACAGTTCGTTTCCACTCAACAGTCGAATTAAAGAGAGAGTACACTCCGTGAGATAGGATAAGTATTATAAATATTCAATGTATAGTTAATATTTTCAAATTCCTGAAACTTTCACATAATGAATTCTGTTTCTTTATGTTTGTATATTTTTGGTATGTCATTGTGGCCCAAGTGCATAGATCGATACTCATGCTGTTGATCACTGGTTGGTCTTGTCAAGATTTGTTTATTTACAGACAGTCTCTATATAGCTGGAATATTGCTGAGTGTGGTGTTAAACAACAAACAAATAGCTGGTCTGGCCACAGACAGTCAGTACAATCCTCTTGGCTGAGGGCAAGAGCTTACCATGGCTGGGGAGTCTACACCCAACTGCTTTTCTATCTGTTTATCTAAAACTTAAGCAATAAAAAGAATGTGACTGCCTCAGTGGACGTTTTCCAAAAGCCTGGTTAACTTTGATTATATAAATTATGTATTAGAAGGGCAACATCAATGACCCAACTATGTACCTTGGAATTACACTACTGAACATTATGTAGCTTGCCAATTCTTAATATGCTGAATACAATTTTACGTGGAAATGCATGCATTAATTTTTAAAGATCAAGATGGCTTTAGCCATTCAACAGTGGAAATATCTGTATGTTACAAAGCTGGTTGGTTGTTTGTTTTATGCCCCTCACTCAGCAAACTGTTCCTATATTTCCGAATGCTTCAGAATGGCTTGCGAAACATTGTCAAAGCAAGACAATATTGCACTCTTTCCCTTTAAATCTCTTTAAGGAAAATACAATATGGTTTTGATTGCATTCCACATGTTTTGACAAGATTACATGTATTTGTAGAAATGTAGAAATTCTTTGTTGATGAGCATATTGAAATTGCACATTGAAAATGTTGTAACTTTAGGATATACTAGTACATGTAGTACCAAAAAAATGTATTGCATATATAGAGAATACTACACGAGGTCTCATTACATACAAATTATACGAAACTCATGACCTTTCTATGGTATCTGACCGAGCGAAATATAGGAAGGTCACAAGTTTCGTATAATTTGCATGTAATGAGACTGAGTGTTGTGTTTTATTTATTACCCACGACTTACCTGCATAAAATTGACAAAATAGCGTATTTTTGTTGTTTTTATGCTTTCAAACCGAAACTGGTTTCATAAAGAGGTTGCGGAAGAATTTTGCATGACGTCATACTGTATTGAAGTCACCAAGCCATTCTCGTCTGCCACCTCGTTGTCAAAAGTACCCTTGGTAACCGATGTCAGGATGCATGTCAGTTGTCATCATGTCAAAGCGTGGATAATTGTGTCGACTGGGGAATTAGCTCATGTTTAAGATGAGGTGTACGTTCAATATGTTGACAAGACGAAGGAATACGTAGAGTTCAAACTTCTTTAGTTACATGACAACAAAATACACAAGACATAAATGAGGTGAGCGGATTACCTGCTCAACCCCAGGGCGTTTCCAACGAGCAGCATTATCCCGCTCGTGGATGTCCCTACACAGATTGTCAGAATACCAGACTCGTACTCCTTCCACATATAGATGTGAGCATATTAAGTATATATACAATTTTTGACAACAATGGACAGGCCACGACTCGACAATGGACATATAGAAAAACAATAGCACTTCTTTGACCAGTTGATGTGATGGCAGACACGGCCAAGGGGGATGACCAATTAAGATTATAAATGTCATATACAGTAATTAATTGCCTGACAAGTCAATGTACAATGCGGAAGTGATAAAGATTGCATAGAATACAGATTAGCATCATATAAATAATTACAATAATGTCTCACATGTCTTGAGTACATATGCATAGTTTTTAGTTTTAATTACAATACTTACTGCTAATATCATGAGTTCTTTTCAATTTGCCCATACTAGCCAAACTTACAAAATACACGAAATTTGTTACCCCAAAACTGGGAAACAAACGTAAAGATTTTCCCAGACATATGGTTCTAGCGCTAGGCTACGCTGCGCTCGGGGCAACACACCACTCGTCCGTGGCGGGTGACGTCATGCTCCTGATGACGTCACGATCTCTATAAATACGAGCGCTAACCATGCAACTTCCTCTTTTCAATTTTGGCTGCTACGGAGCACACCCCTGGTATAGTACCCTAGCAGCCCAGTTTGCTCTTTTAGTCAAAGAATTATGTCACATACTTCTTTGAAGTGTTTTGGTGTGGGCTTTCGAGTGCGGGATTAATCTGAAGGCAGATGATCCGCACCCTTATGTTTGGCATGCCGCCACTGCTCTCGGTTAAAGTAAGCCTTGTGCTGTGTGCAAGGATTGGACACCGGAGCAGTGGACCCAGTTGAGAGAGGCGTTGGAAGGCGTCGCTGAAGCGGGAGCTTCGTTTCAGCGACTTTCGAGCGCCGTCTCTCCAATGAGCGTCTTGTCAGCCGGTTTCGGACCACCGGTCTTTCTCCGGCGTGGTGGCGGGTGTAGGGGGCCCTCAGGGCCACCTCCCCGCTGCCTGGGACCTCCGGATTCGTCCCGGACGTCACTGACGTCCCCGACTTTCCTGTGTCTGACATCACCCTTGGGGTTGAGGTCGGGCCCGAGTTCCCAGGTGCCAGCTGCCAGCTTCGTCAGATCCCCTGGGTCTGGAGTCAACGGCCCAGATAGTTCTCGAACGTCCCTACGGGACCCGACAGGATTAGGGTCGGTGTATCCCAGCGGGACACGGAGCCTTCAGCCCGATGGGCCGACCTGGCTACGAGGTCACTCGGCCGGCCCTGCGGTGGGTGCCGGCCAGGACATCCAGGCCAGGACATCCAGAGGCAAAGTTTGCTTCTTGAGCAGGTTCTGTCTTCTCTACGGGGTCCCCCTATTCAAGGGGGACAGCAGAATGTGCCTAGTGGGGTAGCGACCTCTGGAAGCTTCCCCCAATCCCTTTCAGCTCCAAGGGACCCACCCTCGACCTTTGTTGGGTTGTTAGGCGAGACACGGGTGCGACGACCATGCAGGCCCCGACAGTCCCGCTAGGTTTGCCCAAAGGAGAAGGGCAGCATCCCATGGACGTGGACTCAGACCCGGATGACTCCTCGTCCGTGGACTCGAGCATCCTGTACGAGGAGGAGTCTCACCCTAGGGTGGGACCCTCCTCTACCGTCTAGGGCAGTCGGGAAGGACCCACTGGGCCTAACCTGACTGTCCCTAGGGGTCCATCCACCCCCTCGGATGTGGGGGAGGGAAGCACAGTGGGGGATTATTCCTTCACCGAATCCATCCTCTCCCTGAAGGATTTCCTCTGGTCAGTCGCGTCCGGACGGCAAATCCGCCGGGAACTTGGACCCCCCACGACAGGAGGCCATGCCTTTCCTGACTCCTGCTCAGGTGAGTAGGGGAACACGTGCACCTACGTCCTCCCTCTCCCTACCCTTCTCTAGGGACTTGGATGAGATATGGACAGAGCTGAATGACCTGATCCGAGGATCGGGAAATTCAGACCTGCCGGAGGACGGTAGATCCATGAAGACGGGTAAAGTGCCCACCCGTAAATCCCCTCGTATTTACGGTCAGGGCACATACTCTTGCTTTGCGCCGGACGGGGCGGAGCCGTTCTCCCTGGCAGCTCCCCCCGTGCCCCCTGAGTTCCTCTCACGTTTTCCTGCGGAGAACCCAGCAAAATTGCTGATAGCTTCGGAAAACCTGAGGAGCTGGGAGGAGATGTGCCGCCACTACTTTGGGGTGATTTCACATCTTTTCTGGCTTCTCGATGGGACCTTCCTGGCCCTGCCTAAGGACTTGGAGGCGGACACGCCTCCCTTGCAAGCGTGGATGACATTAGCTCTGACTGCGTTGTCACATCTGTCACGCTTGCAAGGGCGCTTCATGGCATGTCTCCTGCTAACGAGGCGAGCCGCGACCTTGGCTGCTTGCTCTTACGACGAGCAGACAAGGGCGCAGTTTAGGTGTGCCCCCATTGAGAGTCGGCAACTCTTCGGCACGGGTCTCCCTGACCGAATGCAGCAGCTGGCGGACAGGCGGAAATACGACGCGCTGTACACCCGTCAGCCTCCGTCTCTTTCCGTGGGGAAGTTGACTGTACCTCCTCCCCAAACTGCCGCCGCGTCCGGTCCGACTGGTGCCAAACGACACTGACCGAATCGGAAAAGGGGGACGAAGCAGTCCTCCAACAGAGCCACCCAAGGGTGGCGAGTCAAGTCCGGCGGCCGGCAGGGAAGGCCACAGGTCGTTCCTGACTCCTTCCCCCAAAGAGAGCTCAACAGAGAGTCTCTGATACCGGTGTCCACTCAGGACCCTGTACCCAGTCAGGCCTCCGTATCAGGGGCAGAATTCCCTATAGCTGGCAGGTTGTCACACTTCCTACCAGCATGGGAAGAGGAGACACTCGACCTTGGGTACATTCCGTACTAAGGGTCGGATACTGCATTTAGTTTCACGGCGTACCGTACCCGCCGCTAACATAAGACCCTCCTCTGTCTGCACTCCCCAGAGACAAAAATCAATTGTCGTCGTTGCGTCAAATGATAAGGGAGTTTCTCGGAAAAGGGGCGATCGTTCCCCTCCCGAATCCCGGGCTGGGATTTTACTCCCGACTGTTCCTAGTCCCCAAAAGAAACGGAGACTGGAGGCCAGTATTAGACCTGTCTCACCTGAACAAGTACACGCTAGTAGAGGCGTTCAAAATGGAAACTCTCACTTCCATAAGAACCTCTCTAAATCAAGGCGACTGGGCTATTTCAATAGACTTAAAAGACGCCTATCTTCACA